GTATAGGATACCGAACCAAAACCTTACTCCCGATTCCCAAACCAACATTTTCGGGATTCCTTGTTTCAAGACCGATCCTAAACCAAATTTTCGGGAATCTCGAAATATTTGTGAGCTTTTCGGCTATACTAACTTGGTTGTGGTTGTGCAGTGTGCAGAATAGCAAATTTGCAATGCATATCTTGGCAGTGTAGTGATCAAAATTTGGCTGGGCTATAACTTGGATGTGCCTGTGCAGTGTGCTTGTACACTGCGTATCATATCTTGGCTGTGCAGTGAAGTGATCATCAAAATAAATTAACAATCTGCTACCTATTCTACACTGCCAATCTGCCTATTCTACTACAAATCCATGCAACAAAAATAAATTAACAATTCCAAAACCAGAGTTTACTAGGTTCCTTCAGAAATTCTTCTATGACTGACATAATTTGAGTCAAAGAAGCGGGATATGAACTTATAGTTTACATGTGTGCAAGTGTTCCCGTGAGTGAGGATCTATGCATGTGTAAACAGTTTAAAAGCACAGATAATGTCATGCTTTGATGACCATTCCAGCAACATTACGTTATGAGCAAAATTTCTTTTACCTTGTAAACATAACGAACTATTCAAATCAAGGTTTCTTTTCTTGTTCTAAATAGTAAAAGAAATCATAATTTCACACCAGGAAGTATAAATCATACACAATTCATATTGGAGATGCATTCGCATAGCCTATAAGAATATATACATAACGATAATCGGTTGAAAAGAACGAATGGGGTACCTCACTAAAATCCATATATATGAATTCAAGTAGACAATCAAGATAATTGATTTCTATAAAGAGAAACCATCAAAGCTCACAACTAACTGGCAGAAGACAAGGATCCCAAACACGATAAAAAGAAGGAAAACGTTTTACAAGGAACAAGGAAACAAAAGTTAAAAAGCTCTGATTGCGTAAGGTATTTTAGAAAATATTTAAGTCAGGCTCCCTCCCCTCTTTAACCTCTCATTCCCTCTATAGATATTCTAAATATATATTTAAAAATTAAATAATATATATATATATATTTTTGGGTTCGGTTTGGGATTATCAAAATCCCAAAAACTTGAGACTGATTCCCGTACCGAAATTTCGGGATCGATTCGATATTGGGTACCGAAATTTTCAGGAATTTAGGTTTGGGATTTTTTTGGTTTGGTTTAGGGAATTTTTCGGTTTGGTTTGGAATTTTTTTCCAGCCCTACTGAGCCCTAGAAACCACGAGTTGTTTTCACAATGGAAAAAAAAAAATGTTCATCCAAGTTTGAATAAATGGCATCAAGTTGTGATAAGGGCCGAAAGGAGATATGAAGGCGGAGCCAATCTATACGACGAAGTAAGTGTTTTCACAAGTTCTTTTAAATATTTAATTATATTACATTTAATTTCATAAATTAATTTCCTTTAATTTTTATAATTATATTTTCTAGGAACGCCAAGCGGAGCAATTGTATATGGATGACATGAAAAAAAACCTTTACTCATCAAGGTTGTTGGGAAATTTGTAAACGGTGGGTGTTATTTCAAGATTCACCTCAAGAAAGATTTGGTCCTATGCCGATGTTCGGAAATGTTTCCTCAAATACAATTGGGGATAAACAAGTATCTCCTATCATTGAAGAAACAAGGCTACAAAATCCGTCTCCGGGTCTCAATCTTCCATACCTAGGCAAGAAACAAGGGTATAAAATTGAAGGAAAAGGGCAAGGAAAATGAGGAGTTAGCCTTTCAAGAGGAAATAGCCTCCTCATTGCAATTAATGGCGGAGCAAAATGTCATTGATGTGGAAGAAAGGAAGCGTAGACACGAAAAACGGGCAAAACAAATATAAGAAGAGATGAATGATAGGAACAAGGAAAGAGACACTATGAGTTATACTCCAATGAGTAAGACATTTTTTGATAGGAAAAAAAAAAAGAAATTATGGTCCAACATAAGTTGTTTACAACATTCGACTATACTCCTACAATGACAGATAAAGATCAGTATTATTATTAGTTGTTGCAGTTTTTAAATTTAAGTTGTAGTTACTTACCTTTTTCTCCCCTGGCTCTTTTTCTCGAAAGGGCTACTTATCTTCTTTTACCTAGTGGTCGATCAGTTCGGATTTATGGATCAATAGGCATGCGGATCTATTGTTAAGCTTGTTACCTTACACTTGCGAAAAACAGTTTTGGGAAACAGCCCCTCACTCTCACCCTCTTACTTTTCTTTGTTTATCAACATAGACGGTAACGTTAGTTTGCCGTCAACTCCGTCAGATAAAAATTAAAAATAAGAAGAAACTTCGGGCCTTACATGCGGCGATTACATTTTATCAATCGTCAATCCCATCAGCCTCCAACCTCTACGGGCAACCGGCGGTCGTCCCCGGCAATCTGATTATTGGCGGCTGTGAGGTAATCTCAATTCACGAACACGGTGAACACAGAATTCAGTTTCAATTTCAATTGTAATAGAGTTAGCTGATTTATCTTTACTTTTTCTCGTCATTCGTTGAGCTTTTATTTCTACTTGTTTTTCCTTTTGAACCATTTACAACCCGAATTTGATTTTTCTAGCTTGCACAAAGCTTTTGAATTTTGAGAACTGGGTTTTATTTACTTGTAAATTTTATGTAGTTTTTGAAAGAGATGTTTTGTTGGTTGGTGTTTATAGGGGTTAATGATGATTTAAAGGCCGATTGTATATTGCAAGTTTTGTTTAGCAAATGGGTTTATTGATCATATTCTACTGACTCAAGAGATTATAAGGGTATTAAAGAATCTAGTTGAAGATAAAAAAAATTGACTTTCTCTAACTTTCTGTAATATCTGGCGCTGTTAAATTAGAAAGTTTAGGTGCTCTTAGTTATGAGATACCCTGGTTGTCTGTTTAATTGACATTTTGAGAAGCTGAGAGAGACGGAGAGATTATGATAGCATAAGTTTTTCTCTGCTCTAACAAATCCTGCTGCTGCAATTGCAACTTAAAGATAACATTCTGAAGCTGGCCAACTTTAGTTTGAAGTTCCGTTTGAATACTTTAAACAAGGAATGTCTTCTTGTTCCACATAATTATATTGCTGCCTCAGATCATAAAATTCAGTTAACAATGAAATCTTTTAGCATCATTTCATATGAATCTTTTTTTTTTTGTCTTAGTAGACTTTGAGTGCCCTAAGTGACCCAATTATGCTATCATTCTACTTCCATTTTTGGTTTTAGAGTTTCCCTATTTAGACATCGTCAAACAAGCTGTCCTAGTTGGAGCACGGAACCTTATTGTGAATCCTCTGCATTTTTTCTCGCTATTTATCTGCATCCTCGGTCTTGACAGGTCTTTGTTTCTGTCCCTTTAAGGGTTTTACATCTCACCTTCACATCTTGTCATTTCTTGTGGATGAAATGGGTTTATTTCCATGCTCTAATAGGAAATTTCTGACACAGCCAATTTGGACAACCGGGTGTGGGCAGGAATTGATCCTCCTCATTATCTATTATGTCTCTTCATTTGATCTCGTTTAGGGCCAGGCGATCTCTGTTTTGAATCTCTGTTTTTTTCTATTTTCCAATTCCTTGCCGATTCCATAGATTGCATGTGATCAACAAAAAGAATATCATAGTCCGCCTTATTATTCGTTCATCTTGAAATGGGAAATCAATTCTTTAACCAGAATAAGTGGAGGGAAGCTTTGCAATTGTTTTAGGTGTCTTCTGCTAGCCTGATTGGAACCTTAATTACGAAGTTTTCAAGCAAATAGTGATTTAGGAGGGCATTAATAATCTTCCCAGTTGCCTGATTTCTTTCGTTGTTGTTAGATGGTTAGATGGATTTAAGTTGTGATTGTATTGTCAGGATTTGTGCCTATATATAGGCCAAACTAAGGAGGAATTCGGGATTGGGATCGACAGAAATAGAGAGTGTTTCAACAGTAACTTTCAGGCAGAGGATGTTGATGTTGTTCAAATGCATAATTCTGCCTAAACAAACTTCTGTCAAGGAAACAGAAACTCTCAAACTAAGTCGATAAAAAACAATTCTAATCAAGTAACTTGTCTAATTTGTCAGCATAATGTGATTCTTAAAGTCTTTGAACTATTTTATGCAGCTCTTCAAGAACGTGAAAAATAGCAAAGAGATGCAACATACAAAGAAAACATAATATCTTCAATTAACCGTCTAGCGAAGTTTGTATGACATGATAACTGATGCTCTTCTTTTGACGTGAATGCTAATATTGGGTTACCTTTGTCAATTTAAACACCATGGCATTGATGTTCATATATCAATGGGATTTGGTGAGGGTTACTGGGAATAGACTTAACTTTGCATTGTGTTCTTTCATTTATGGGTCTATTTATGTACGATAGGTAATTTTCACCAATTCTATCACTTTTGACTGTTGGTGTATTGGCCTAATTATGTTATGCTGGCTGATGGTGTATTGGCCTAATTATGTTATGTTGGCTGATTAGGTTATTTGATCATTAGGAGGTTCAGTTGCTGATATCATGTGTTTCTTGCAAATCGTTTGCCATCTGTTTTTCAATACAGGGGATTCAAACTAATAGTTGTTAATGATTATCTGTTTTCTTCAATATGAGCATGTTTTTTGAAAATGGTCTAGTTATAATTCTGTAAATAATATTCCGGTTGCAATTTTGGGTTTTATATTAGGTTTGCCCCTTGCAAACATGAATTGATAGTAGTCTGTATATGTTTCGAATGGCAAGATTAACTTCATGAAGTTAAGTTTTTTGTTTAATGTCGTGATCATAGGAAAAGTAACAATGTAGTGATTTGTGTTTGATTTATGATGGTAAAATGGACTAACTTAATTTTGTGTGGTCATTTAATGATAGAAGTGGTGTTGTCATATTTAAACACCAGAAAAATTGGTCTTTCCTTTCCACCCCATTTAGATTTTTTTTTTTTTTTGTGTGGATAGGTCACATTATCATATTTTCTACCCTATTTAAACCCTAAAAGTTCATCAGTGACTGCAAGGTAGAGTTTAGTCCCTACAAATTGCAATCTCCTTGATGTGCCGGTGTTTTCTATTTGGGCGTTCACCAATAAATGAGTGACCCAATTCAAAATTAGGGACAGGAAGATAAATGGAAAATTTTTAAGAGGCGAATGTAGAAATAAAAATTCAAAGAGGGGGTTATTAATAATTGAGAGTTTAGAGCAAGTGAGTACCAGGCTCATCGGTTCCGTCAAGGCAGTCACAGAAATCATCATTGAGACGGTCTCTAGTGAAGGATTTGGAGTCATCCCTGCAGTTGATCACCTCTGAACCATAGTAGTTTTCATCTGCATCCGCACAAGAGAAGAAATTATTTCAATTTCATATATATATATATATATAGAGAGAGAGAGAGAGAGAGAGAGAGAGAGAGAGCGATTCCGTCGACTTTAATCGTCTACTGATTCCGTCGGTCTGTACGGAGACACTCACAGACAGAGCAAGACAGACCGCCTGGGGATACAGAAACAGATCTTAACGGTGGCACTCTACTCTTCCCTCCCAATTATTGAATCTCCACCGTCCGATCTCCTCAACATTGTTCTTCAGATTCAACTCTCCGGCCGCCCATCTCCTCTGGACAGTAGTATTTCCCTCGCAATTTCAAGGTGCATAATCCTCTCTTCCCTCTTTTTTCGTATCAGAATATGACCTCATTTCATTAATTTGGTTCACGGTTTATCCCCTTGATTGAATTGTCCGTTTGTAAACTTATGTACGAAGGTGGACACACATTTTTGTTTAGTTGCTGAGATTTTTGAGAGAGAAAATTAGAAATTCAATCTTGATTTTACGTGAATTATGATGGGTTGGTTTCGGAATACAGAAATTTGAATTGGGCAGTTGCAATTTTGGCAAAGGATTTAGTCTTGGTCCTTTGCTTTTGATTGGGGTAAAAAACAAATTGTGTCATGCTTAATGGTAACTGAGTTCAATCCATTTCAATTTCAGCGTTAGATAAATTCTTCGTATGAACCGAATTTGCTCGCTGTTTCTGTTACACTATGTTTGGATGAGGGAAATAAACATGGAATTTTGGTAAAATAAATTAACAGGCACCAATTCTCTTGTTTGGATTCATAAGCATAGAAATTTAGAATTTCCGCATGAAAAAAAAACTTGGAATTTGGGACCTCCAAATCCCAAGTTCAAATTCCATGTAAATAGGTGTCATTTCTCAATTTCTATGATTGAGAGTTTAAAAATAACAAATTCTGTATTCAATTCCATTGTTCTTTTCGGTTAACCAAACAAGAAAATTTACAAATTCTAGAAAATAAAATCTCGTCATTTCAATTTCCGTCATTTTTAAATTCCTTAGTAATCTTAAACAAGGCAGAAAGGAAGAAGATTGAACTAATTTGAGAAAAACAAGGCAGAAAGGAAGAAGATTGAAGAAAACAGATAATTGTGCAATTGAACTAATTTGAGAAAAACGAGGCAGAAGAGAAGAAGATTGAAGAAAACAGATAATCATTAGCAACTATTATTTTGAATCCCATGTATTGAAAAATAGATGGCAAACGATTTACAAGAAACACATGATATCAACAACCGAACCTCCTAATGATCAAATAACCTAATCATCCGACATAACATAATTAGGCCAATACACCAACAATCAAAAGTGATAGAATTGGTGAAAATTACCTATTGTAGATAAATAGACCCATAAATGAAAGAGCACAATGCAAAGTTAAGTCTATTCCCAGTAAACCTCACCAAATCCCATTGATATATGAACATCAATTACATGGTGTTTAAATTGACAAAGGTAACCCAATATTAGCATCCACGTCAAAAGAAGAGCATCAGTTATCATGTCATACACACTTCGCTAGATGGTTAACTGAAGATATTATGTTTTCTTTGTATGTTGCATCTCTTTGCTATTTTTCACTTTCTTGAAGAGCTGCATAAAATAGTTCAAAGACTTTAAGAATCACATTCTGTTGACAAATTAAACAAGTTACTTGATTAGAATTGTTTTTTATCAACTTTGTTTGAGAATTTCTGTTTCCTTGATAGAAGTTTGTTTAGGTAGGATTATGCATTTGAACAACATCGACATCCTCCGCCTGAAAGTTACTGTTGAAACAGTCTCTATTTCTGTCGATCCCAATCCTGAATCCCTCCTTAGTTTGGCCTATATACTGGCAGAAATCCCGACAATACAATCACAACTTAAACCCATCTAACCATCTAACAACAACAAAAGAAATAAGGCAACTGGGAAGATTATTAATGCCTTCCTAAATCACTATTTGCTTGAAAACGTAGTAATTAAGGTTCCAATCAGGCTAGCAGAAAACACCTAAAGCGATTGCAAAGCTTCCCTCCACTCATTCTGGTTGAAGAATTGATTTCCCATTTCAAGATGAATGAAGAATATGCGAACTATTTTTGCAGTCTTTGAACTATAATATCTTCAGTTAACCATCTAGCGAAATGTGTATGACATGATAACTAATGCTCTTCTTTTGACATGGATGCTAATATTGGGTTACCTTTGTCAATTTAAACGCCATGTAATTGATGTTCATATATCAATGGGATTTGGTGAGGTTTACTGGGTATAGACTTAACTTTGCATTGTGTTCTTTCATTTATGGTTTTATTTATCTACAATAGGTAATTTTCACCAATTCTATCACTTTTGATTGTTGGTGTATTGGCCTAATTATGTTATGTCGGATGATTAGGTTATTTGATCATTAGGAGGTTCGGTTGTTGATATCATGTGTTTCTTGCAAATCGTTTGCCATCTGTTTTTCAATACATGGAATTCAAACTAATAGTTGCTAATGATTATCTGTTTTCTTCAATATGAGCACTTTTTTTGAAAAATGGTCTAGTTATAATTCTGTAAATAATATTCCGGTTGCAGTTTTGGGTTTTATTTTAGGTTTGCCCGTTGCAAACATGAATTGTTAGTAGTTGTATATGTTTCGAATGGCAAGATTAACTTCATGAAGTTAAGTTTTTTGTTTAATGTCGTGATCATAGGAAAAGTAACAATGTAGTGATCTGTGTTTCATTTATGATGGTAAAGTGGACTAACTTAATTTTGTGTGGTCATTTAATGATAGAAGTGGTTTCATTTTCTAGCATAAGTTTTACGCCAGTTCCACCCCACCATCTGTGGTCAAGATGGCAGCAGGTGAGCTTTTGCACGAGTCATCAGAAGCCGAGGGCGAGGTGCGGGTGTGGGCCCAGATAAAAACTGAGGCAAAACGTGACGCTGAGTCCGAGCCAGCACTTGCAAGCTATTTGTACTCGACAATACTCTCGCATTCATCATTGGAGCGCTCACTGTCGTTTCACTTGGGGAATAAGCTGTGCTCGTCCACTCTCCTCTCGACGCTCCTCTATGATCTATTCCTCGATGCCTTTTCCTCTGATCCCTCTCTACGCGCTGCCACGGTAGCTGATCTATGCGCTGCACGTGAACGTGATCCTGCTTGCGTCTCATTCTCTCACTGTTTACTCAATTACAAGGGCTTCCTGGCCTGTCAGGTAAATAGTCAAATTCAAATGTTGAATTCATGGTAACTACTAGCTTTCAAATTATGAATTAGTTTAATTTTATAATTTTATATAATAATCATGAAAATTGCTATAGTTCGGCTTGTTTTTCGGAAATTTTAAGAAAAGATAATAGTTTGTGTGATTTGTTAGGCTCAGCGAGTGGCGCATAAGTTGTGGAGTCAGTCACGTAAACCACTAGCACTAGCACTCCAGTCACGAATTGCGGATGTGTTTTCCGTGGACATTCACCCAGCTGCAAGGATCGGTAAAGGTGTTCTGCTCGACCACGCAACGGGCGTTGTGGTTGGGGAGACAGCAGTTATAGGAAACAATGTGTCAATATTGCACCACGTGACACTAGGTGGGACGGGAAAGGTGGGTGGAGACAGGCACCCAAAGATTGGTGATGGTGTACTAATTGGTGCAGGTGCAACAATTCTGGGAAACGTGAAGATCGGTGAGGGTGCAAAGATTGGGGCGGGGTCAGTGGTGCTTATCGATGTGCCACCGTGGACAACCGCAGTGGGGAATCCGGCAAGGTTGGTCGGAGGGAAGGAGCGGCCCTCTAAACATGAGGATGTGCCAGGGGAGTCTATGGACCATACCTCCTTTATATCTGAATGGTCTGATTACATAATTTGACAAGTTTCTGCCTTGGTTATGTTAATATCATGCGAAGCTGTGAGCCTGAGACCTATAATCTATAACGTTTACCTCTGTAATGCTACAATGCAGTCAACTGCTATTTTGTGTAATGTATAAATATTACATAAGTTGTTTTTACAAGAAAATCTCAAGGGTTTGATTCAAGGATCTGATTACGGGTCGGGGTCAGAACCGTATGGAGCGTGACCGTATACACGTTATAGTCGGAGTAATACGGTATATAAAGTTTTAGAAGCTATGAAGGGGAGAGATGGAAACAGGGGAGTTGGTTGATAAAACGGACTAACAATCATCCAAAGCAAGTTCCAGTTGCTCAGAAATTGTATGCTGTTGTAATGTTTTTTCCCTCCACAACAAAAACAACACATTCAAGCAACTTGCTTTCCAAGTAAAACTCTCTCCGTCTAAATAGTGATAGAGCAATAATACCTCCATTTTCATCTGTAACAAGATGAAATGCAGATGTTTGCTTTCTCATACTGAAATTCAAAAATATTGGTGTCCCGATTATGATTAGGCTAACCTCAGTTTCGTTCAAGCACATTGCGGTAACTATTGAACAAGTCAGAAACATTCTCGTAATCGTACGGATAATTTCCACGTCGGCTGAAGACAGAACCTAAGCCGTAATGTCAGACACCCTGGACAGCCTGAACCTGGTGTGCAGAGAACATTGCACTACATGCAAGGGGAGACAACCAAGAGATGACTGGGAAATGAAGTACGACTTCTGTGTTACCTGTTTTCTTCTTTCTCCAGTGGAGAAGAAATCCATGGCTTCATATGAACTTATTCTACAAGCAACATTGCCACCTGAATACTTAATAATTAAGTGTACCCTTGATACCCTCAAGGCTCTCCCCCAAAGATAACCTGCAAGGCAACATGAATCGAGAGTTACAAAACAACCCAAACTAATTCGTCAATTACCATGATGCGGTTATGTATGTACGTAAACTGTCTCTTAAGTCGCTGAGAAATTGCAAGATTAACATGACGAGGAGAAGCTAGAAACCTTTATTAAAGCACCAAAATGACCAAATGCCGTAAAGACGATGATTAATGCTAGCAAAACCATGAAGGAAGATCGACGACCAAAGAAGAATCCACAAAGTTTTTTGTTTTAGCCATCTTCAAACCATAATACATTGCCCAAAGCTCAGCATGGAGAACCTCCCCAACCCTTTTCTTAGCAATAAAACCAATGATCATTTAACGTGCCAATCCCGAATTAATCCTCCACTACCAATCACCCCATTGGAACCAAGCCACGAAAAGTCTAAAGGGAGAAGGTTCCCAAGCTAAGAGAGCCTGGACATGGTTGGTTTATTAGAGGTATCAACATTGGCCAACAAGCCTGTTTATACCAGCAAATGTGAAACCCAACCAACACTAATCCCCTAAATTGCCTCGACACTCAACTACAAAATGCACACCAAAAACAAACTTTTCCTTCAATCAACCATTGTAATGTTGTCTAAAAAGTACTGCAAGAAATTTAAGTTTCCACTGTTAAAAAAATGCTATTTAATGTATCCACAAATGAACCCTAACAGAAATCCAGCTATGTAAATAGTTTGTAACGGTGGTCTTATGAAATCCTAAAAAAATATAATCTTCACTTTGCGCAAACTGAATTAGCAATAACATTTCATATCCATAAAGACATGGAACTTACTTATGCATACAATACTTGAACTCTTGGCCCCTAATCATATCTTTTTCACCTTCTTCGAGCTACAATGAAAACACACCCCATGTAAAATAAGAAATGTAACATGTCGAATCCAATAACAGAGAATCTGAATATTATCCATCTTACCGGTTCACTCTCGTAGATAAGCTCATAGCAAGTCGGAGAAAGGCAATGCCAACCCCACAATCCGCTACTCCGATCATCGAAAACAAAAGGGAGCAGTCAGAGACTACACATTTAAAAAAAAAAAACCGCGTGCCAGTCCATCATCACATCTTTTAAAACATGTTGCATATGCATTGAAAGAATTTTTCTCAAGCAGTTTTAATTCAATACAGTTTGCAGGTAGGCCGTATCACTCATACAACTACCAAAACGGCCATGCCAAAGCAACAAAGTGTCCTGGAACTCAGGCATAGGGCCGGCCACACTATGGGCTTCTATGCTGCGAATGGTTGACGTTCCAACTTCTCGTGAATACGCTTATGGCCATATTCATATCGAGTGATACAAAGAAATTCAGAACCATTATCTTCAATGGCTTCAATATGATATTGATTATCTCGAATATCTCTAAAACTCAGCAACGTTCTTCCGGAACGTGGAGAATAGAGTGCCTCCTTAATGGTTAAGATTGTACCATTGGACAACATGATACGTGCCATTCCGTATCCTTCAATCAGGTTGGATGAGCCTGAGAGAGTTGTCAAATGAGCTTTCTTGGGTATTAAGTTAGTAAAATAGTGTCGTTCACGCAAGATGGTGTGCGTGGTTGCACTATCTGCCAGACAACTAACTTCCCCACTAGACATACCTAGAAATAAATTGATTGAATTGGTCACATGTATAAATATAATTCCATTCATTCAATTAAGAAATTCGAGAAAATAATATTCATTCAAATAACAATCCATAATTCCAAACAAACCAAAACCAAACAAATTATTTCAAATACTTAGAAAAATTGTTCAAAATTAAACCATAAACCTAGAAAAATAGGGGGGTAGGGCCGGCCACTCCTAGTGGTTTTGGCCACTAGGGGTAAACACCTTAAAAACATGTCTAATTTATTCATCCATAGGTGTTTTTGACAAAATTACGAGGAGCAATTGGGGAAATTGATGATTTGGTGTTTTTTTTCTGTTAGACATGAAAACATACGGAAGGCTCTCTCAACTGTTTTCCCCAATGCCCATCATGGTGCATGCATATGTCATATAAGTCAAAACATTAGGCACAATTTTAAGCATGAGAGAGCACACAAACTGTCTTTTACAGCTACTAAGGCATATCGAATTCCTGAATTTCATCGTCTTATGACAAAAATATATAAAGTCGACTCTGAGGTGGGTGATTATCTTAATTCGACTGAATATGAAAAGTGGCCTCGTGCGTACTTCGATAAGCGGTACAACATCATGACAACAAATATTGCTGAATGTCTCAATGCAATCACCAGAGATGCTCGGAAATTGCCTTATCACCCAATTTCTTGAGTATTTAAGAATGAATATTCTCCAGAAGTGGTTTTATGAGCGTCGAACCGAGGTAGCCAAAATGAATACACATTTGACAGATTAGGCAGACAAATTAGTGTGAGAAAATAACAAGCAAGGATTATCATTACAGGTATTTTTGCATTCACTTAAATAGAATATAGTTCAATTTGTCTATTTAATTTTGGTAGACTTTCATTTGTTCTCAAGTTATTTTACCAATTCTTATATCCCATAATCTGTAGCTTTATCCATCACTGTGTTTAGTAAAGAACTAGCAAGGGTGCCCGCGCGTTGCTGCGGGAATGAAAATTGTATAACACATAGAAGTTCTAAAAAAAATTATATATATGTATATACAGTAGACAATACTATTTACATACATGTGCAAATTTATTTACAACTCTTATCAACAATAAGGAACAAAATAGGTGTCCATGCGCGAAATGAAGTTTATGGTTGTAAATTGTCAAATTCCATACATGTCAAACTTCATTTAGGAAACTGAAACCATAAGGAATAAAGTGATAAACACGCAAAACAGTTCAGAATCTGAAACCGTTGCTTCACTAAATAAGCAGTACCAACAAAATCATGCTTGTTTTGCTGCAAAAGAACAAAGTAGAAAAAGGGAAACAAAATATTTATATGTTATTTTATTTTCTGTGGAAAAAACTTGGAAGGAGAAGCAATAGTGAAAAGATCATATTTATTTCAAATTTTTAGACAGAGAAAAATAGTACAGAAACCAACAATGAAGGCACATTCTGAGAAAGTATTGATGAAAACACATAGTACACATACCTGCTTAAACCCTTCCTCCTTTTAAACACATAGTACATAATAACAATATGCATATAAGCAAGATTGTGCTTAATTTTCTCTAATTTAAAGAAATGGTTTGCGCAATTTAGAACCTGATATAACAAAAGCATAACAAAAAAAAAAAAAAAAAATTCCAAAACCTAAAGCGCCTTTTGAAAGCTTGGTCCTACTTTGAAAATCTACAAAGGGAAAAATTGTAAACCCAAATTAAAGCTTCTTCTCTTACTCAAAAGAAAAATGGAAACTTTATATGGAAAAAAATTGAAATTCTGCGTAATCAAAAGTGGATCAAAACTCTAAATAGATTATCTTAACGCGTAGGAGATCGTTGTTAGAATTTGAAAACAATTGAAACTTGATTTTAAAACACAGACTTAATCAATTGATTTATGTTTAAATGGAAAGAAAGTAGTGGTCAGTTTTACCTATCGTTTGTTTAGTGTCGCTCAATTTCAATTTGTATTAAAAGCTTGAATTTTTACTTTCCTTCCATTCCCCTATGCATAATAGTCCAGTAGCTATTGTTTACCTACAACAAATTGAAAACCATTTGGGGAAAATAACTAAGCCTTTTGTTATTAGATTCTTGGTAGGCAAAGCAAGAAATTTACACGCAACAAAACTATTAGAACTTTAAAACCCAATTCCCAAATTAGGTTCTCGACTGGCTAATGATCATATTGGATATAAATTATCATCCCGAACACTGCAATGCTTGATTTTTTATTTTTTTATTTTTGGGACATTCTAGTTAATCATTATTTAACTGAAGAATACAATCCGCAGAACAATAATTAGTAGATAAAACTAAAGGGAACAAAATACCAAAATTTGCAGTTAACAACATAGAGCTAAGTGAAAAATACAAAAAATAAGGATAGGAAGGCAATCTTACCTGGGTTTGGTTATGCTTCTATCAAGTGCTGCCCTTAACTAACGAAATAAGCAATCTCTTCACGCATCATATTTAGTCATCAATCCCTTACACACACACACACACACAAAGATATTATGTATTACATTCTAATTTTTCTTTACTTACATTTTCATTCTATTTCTTTATGTGTGTAAACTTACAATAATTCTCCATAATTTTCAGTCAATTCCATCGTAATTAAAATAAATATTGAGTATATACACACTTATAACCACACTAAATTCAGTTTTCCATACGAAAGCACATACGTCAAATCAATGTTCCTACTGTATTCATTTAATCAAATGATGCATCAAATATAATAATTAAATTATACCTCTAATTTATAACCTTTTGATTTCGCTTCATCTACAGCTAAAACCGAAATTTAGTCAGCCCCCAACATAATTCTATCAAATACCAGATAGCAACACCATGTAAAAGTCATATTGGTTTTATGTAGCAGTTCAGGGTATTCATCCACTTCTCTTACAGATCACTAATTGCGAATTGGTTCTGTAGTTCTTATGCGGAATATTTTTTGTTGTTGCTTAGTTGTTCTTTTGTTTGAGTAATATATGTGCATGTAAACATGCAGGTTTCGTCTATTGCAACTTACTCATTTCATGTATACGATGGATCTCGTATTGAAGTTGTGAATTTAGAGGAAAAGAGTTGCATATGCCGACAATTTGATCTTGACCAACTCCCTTGCTCACATGCTCGTGCTGCATGTAGACACCGACAACTTTCATGTTATCCTATATGTTCTCATTATTATACTACAAACTCCTTGGTCATTGCCTATGCAGAAGCTATATGGTCAGTTGGTGATCAAACCGATTGGATAGTAACTGATGATGTGCGTGAAAGAATTGTCTTACCATCAATTACATGAAGAAGATATGGTAGGCGCAAAGAAAAGAGGATCCCATCACGTGGAGAAGAAAAATCAACTCGAAAGTGTTCAAAATGTGGTTCAAATGACCATTATAAACAAGCTTGTAGGAATCCAGTTCAACTTCATCCTACTTTGTAGAACCCTTTTAAATTGGAGTTTTATGAATAAAATTTTATTTCCATCATTTTACCGTTTGGGCCAAGAAATTGGGGTGTAATGAATAAATATTTTCTTTTGATCATTTTATTGTTTATTTTGGTTGTACATACAATTCTTTAAATTCCCAACAATTAAAAGATAATTACTTTTATTTATTTACTCTGATAGTTCACTTTGATAACATACTAAAGTGTTTTCTGTGAACCATGTGAGAAATAAAGGTTTCCTCGATTATTTATTAAAATAAAATTGAGAGAAAACTTTTGCTCTTCTTTTGGAAAAGAAAAGAAAAAAACAAGGAGAAAGTTTTAGTTAGAGATTATAGCACAACAAGTTTTAAGTCTAACAATTAGTTATTCATATAAATTGAGGGTAGTTATATTTATTTAAGTGAGATTTTAAATATATATGAAAGTTTTTATAAAAACTGACAGTTTTGAAATTAAGGATTCATTTTTTGCTATATTTGATAAATTCCCACTATGTAATGAGAATTCAAAGATCATTTTACAAAAATAATTCCATCTTCTTCCTCTCGCCACTTTCTGCTACTCTTGCAGCAAGTTAAGGTTGAACTAGTGGCCTGAATTGGTATCTAAAATTGAGCAAAACCCCTAATTTAACAAATTGAGCAAACCAAAATCCCAAAATTGATCCGCCATAAAATTGAGCAAACCAAACCCTAATTCATAAATTATCAATCCAACAATGAATATTTCAAGATTACCAATGATCAAGTCACAACCGTTACATTAAATTACCAATGGGCCGTTTTGGGGCCCCTGATTATATATTTATGGACCCGTCACGTCCTGTTTCAACTCTACCAAATTTGGACCCACCTCGAACCACCATTACCCTCTCCTTCCCGCTGGTTTAGGTTCCGTTTTGCCCACTCCTAATTTGAATCAGAAACTTAGTTGGTTAAAAGAGAATGATGTAATGAGGCAAACAATCGAAGAATTGAACCTAACCAAATTTTAGATTGTGTAAAGTTAGGTTGAGTATTACCCCTACTTCATCAATTCATCAACACGATTTATAACTCATGTCCTAACATAT